CATTTCCTGAATTAATCTTTGACAAACCAAAGATAAGCACTGATGATGTCCCTATTTCCACTGCCTTCATGTTATATAAAAAGCTTTTGATACTGATTTTCAGTGAGGCTGAACATGAAGCTATTCAAATTAATTTGCCATCATGAATCAAGGAGATGCTTTTCAGACATATACCTGCTGAGTTCAATATTCTATAGTACCTCATCTGGCAAACAACATATTGATTTGAGAAAGTTATTACAAATGCAGGAATCTATTTTGATCTCAGAATAAGTGGTGTTTTTATAACATTTGCTGAATCTAGACATTCATATAACATGGCAACTCTCTGAAGTATTCGTCTTAATAGAATTAAAAATCAACAGAAAGAAAGTTGTTTAACAGTAATGGCAGAACTTACTAAGCAATTCTTTGATTTGGTACTGTTGTGCAACAATGTGCAGGTCGTCCTGAAGCTCCGTATCTTTGCTAATTATGCTCCACTTGTACAAAAGTAGCAAAACATCATTGTTTGAAAGGATATGTTCATTTACAATGAATCTGCCCATTTCTCTGAAGGCTTCAATAACCAGAATACGGTATTCCAATACAGAATTTAATACACTGAAAAACTGAATAAGCTCAGCAGGATCCAAGTTGGTTCTATTTAGCAGAAGACAGGAGACGAAATTAGGACAAAATACTTATATGATCTCACATTAGTCACAATAATGACTAAACTCACTGTTGACTTTTTCTGGCAGCAAGTGGTTAATCTCATTCCTGAACACAGCAAAACAATGGATAATTTATATAGGAAAACATTAGAGATATGGCATAAACATTCTATCTATATATTAATCTCCTAGAAGATTAATATTAATATGCAACTTGGACCCAAAGAGTTATCCAGTTTCATGGCCTCTGAATCTGTTGTTCCCTGGATGGGGAGGAACCACCTCTGACTCAATCCTACCAAGCAGCTGCGGGTTATTAGGGCTACCTGGATCTGGGAATATTCAATCTTTAACCGTGGTTGGGGTTGCACTTTCCCATTCAGTGCAGTCTGAAGGTCCTGCTTGATAAGCAGGTGGCAGCTGTGGCCAGGAAGGCCTTTGCACAACTCCATCTGGTGTACCAGTTGCATCCTTTCCTGGATCAGGAGGCCCTTCAGTCACTCATGTTCTAGTGACCTCATAGCTCAACTACTGCAATGTGTTCTACATGGGGTTGCCCTTAAAGACCACTTGGAACCTTCAACTGGTACAGAACGTTGTGTACGAAGTGTGAGCAGTGATGGGCATGCCTCTATATGCCCATGGAATGTCCCTGCTTTGCAAGCTGCACTAGTTATCAGTCTGCTTCTGGATATGATTCAAGGTGCTGGTTATGGTGCAATTCAAAGTACAGTGGTACCTCGGGTCAGGAACTCTTCTGTTCACCACCAATTCGGGTCACGAACAGCACCGTTCGCAAAATTTTGCTTCCGTTCGCGAACTCCGCATTGGGTGACGAACAGGATCCACACCCATTTTCCCTACTGACACACGTGGTCGTGGCTTCCTGTAGGGAGGGGGACTCTCCCTCAAACCAAAAACCGCCTCCCCACCCGCCTTCCTGTCCTCCACGCCAGAAGTCGCATCGA